AGACACGTGGTACATTTACCAGGAAGTACTCCACACTGCTGACATTAACCTGCTGTATCAGACGCGAGGTACATTTACCAGTAAGTACTCCACACTGCTGACATTAACCTCCATTATCAGACACGTGGTTCATTTACTAGTAAGTACTCCCCACTGCTGACATTAACCTGCTGTATCAGACACGTGGTACATTTACTAGTAAGTACTCCACACTGCTGACATTAACCTGCTGTATCAGACACGTGGTACATTTACTAGTAAGTACTCCACACTGCTGACATTAACCTGCTGTATCAGACACGTGGTATATTTACTAGTAAGTACTCCACACTGCTGACATTAACCTGCTGTATCAGACACGTGGTACATTTACTAGTAAGTACTCCACACTGCTGACATTAACCTGCTGTATGAGACACCGTGTACATTCACCAGGAAGTAGTCCACACTGCTGACATTATCTTGCTGTATTAGACACGTGGTACATTTACCAGGAAGTACTCCACACTGCTGACATTAACCTGCAGTATCAGACACGTGGTACATTTACCAGGAAGTACTCCACACTGCTGACATTAACTTGCTGTATTAGACACGTGGTACATTTACTAGTAAGTTCTTCACACTGCTGACATTAACCTGCTGTATCAGACGCGTGGTACATTTACCAGGAAGTACTCCACACTCCTGACATTAACCTGCTGTATCAGACGCGTGGTACATTTATCAGGAACTCCACTCACACACTGCTCACATTAACCTGCTGTATCAGACACGTGGTACATTTACCAGGAAGTACTCCACACTGCTGACATTAACTTGCTGTATTAGACACGTTGTACATTTACTGGTAAGTTCTCCACACTGCTGACATTAACCTGCTGTATCAGACACGTGGTACATTTTCCAGAAAGTACTCCACACTGCTGACATTAACGTGCTGTATCAGACGCGTGTAACATTTACCAGGAAGTACTCCACACTGCTGACATAAACTTGCTGTATCAGACGCGTGGTACATTCACTAGGATATACCATACACTGATGACATTAACTTGCTGTATCAGACACGTGGTACATTCACCAGGATATATTCCACACTGCTGACATTAACTTGCTGTATCAGACACGTGGTACATTCACCAGGATATACCCCATACTGCTGACATTAACCTGCTGTATCAGACACGTTGTACATTCACCAGGATATACCCCACACTGCTGACATTAACCTGCTGTATCAGACACGTGGTACGTTCACTAGGATATATTCCACACTGCTGACATTAACTTGCTGTATCAGACACGTGGTACATTCACCAGGATATATTCCACACTGCTGACATTAACTTGCTGTATCAGACACGTGGTACATTCACCAGGATATACCCCACACTGCTGACATTAACTTGCTGTATCAGACGCGTGGTACATTTACCAGGAAGTACTCCACACTGCTGACATTAACTTGCTGTATCAGACACGTTGTACATTTACCAGGAAGTACTCCACACTGTTGACATTAACTTGCAGCATCAGACACGTGGTACATTCACCAGCATATATTCCACACTGCTGACAATAACTTGCTGTATCAGACACGTGGTACATTCACCAGGATATACCCCATACTGCTGACATTAACCTCCTGTATCAAACACGTGGTACATTCACCAGGATATACCCCACACTGCTGACATTAACCTGCTGTATCAGACACGTGGTACATTCACTAGGATATATTCCACACTGCTGACATTAACTTGCTGTATCAGACACGTGGTACATTCACCAGGATATATTCCACACTGCTGACATTAACTTGCTGTATCAGACACGTGGTACATTTACTAGTAAGTACTCCACACTGCTGACATTAACTTGCTGTATCAGACGCGTGGTAAATTTACCTGGAAGTACTCCACACTGCTGACATTAACCTCCTGTATCAGACACGCTGTTCATTTACTAGTAAGTACTCCACACTGCTGACATTAACCTGCTGTATCAGACACGTGGTTCATTTACTAGTAAGTACTCCACACTGCTGACATTAACCTGCTGTATCAGACACGTGGTACATTTACTAGTAAGTACTCCACACTGCTGACATTAACCTGCTGTATCAGACACGTGGTACATTTACTAGTAAGTACTCCACACTGCTGACATTAACCTGCTGTATCAGACACGTGGTACATTTACTAGTAAGTACTCCACACTGCTGACATTAAGTTGCTGTATCAGACACGTTGTACATTTACCAGGAAGTACTCCACACTGCTGACATTAACTTGCTGTATTAGACACGTGGTACATTTACCAGGAAGTACTCCACACTGCTGACATTAACCTGCTGTATCAGACACGTGGTACATTTACCAGGAAGTACTCCACACTGTTGACATTAACTTGCTGTATCAGACGCGTTGTACATTTACCAGGCAGTACTCCACACTGCTGACATTAAGTTGCTGTATCAGACACGTGGTACATTTACCAGGAAGTACTCCACACTGCTGACATTAACCTGCTGTATCAGACGCGTGGTACATTTACTAGTAAGTACTCCACACTGCTGACATTAACCTGCTGTATTAGACACGTGGTACATTTACTAGGAAGTACTCCACACTGCTGACATTAACCTGCTGTATTAGACACGTGGTACATTTACTAGGAAGTACTCCACACTGCTGACATTAACCTGCTGTATCAGACACGTGGTACATTTGCCTGGAAGTACTCCCCACTGCTGACATTAACTTGCTGTATCAGACACGTGGTACATTTACTAGTAAGTACTCCACACTGCTGACATTAACCTGCTGTATCAGACGCGAGGTACATTTACCAGGAAGTACTCCACACTGCTGACATTAACCTCCTGTATCAGACACGTGGTACATTTACTAGTAAGTACTCCACACTGCTGACATTAACCTGCTGTATCAGACGCGTGGTACATTTAGTAGTAAGTACTCCACACTGCTGACATTAACCTGCTGTATCAGACACGTGGTACATTTAGTAGTAAGTACTCCACACTGCTGACATTAACCTGCTGTATCAGACACGTGGTACATTTACTAGTAAGTACTCCACACTGCTGACATTAACCTGCTGTATCAGACACGTTGTTCATTTACCAGGAAGTACTCCACACTGCTGACATTAACCTACTGTATCAGACACGTGGTACATTTACCAGGAAGTACTCCACACTGCTGACATTAACCTGCTGTATTAGACATGTGGTACATTTACCAGGAAGTACTCCACACTGCTGACATTAACCTGCTGTATCAGACACGTGGTACATTTACCAGGAAGTACTCCACACTGCTGACATTAACCTGCTGTATTAGACACGTGGTACATTTACCAGGAAGTACTCCACACTGCTGACATTAACCTGCTGTATTAGACATGTGGTACATTTACCAGGAAGTACTCCACACTGCTGACATTAACCTGCTGTATCGGACACGTGGTACATTTACTAGGAAGTACTCCACACTGCTGACATTAACCTGCTGTATCAGACACGTGGTACATTTGCCTGGAAGTACTCCACACTGCTGACATTAACCTGCTGTATCAGACGCGTGGTACATTTATCAGGAAGTACTCCAGACTGCTGACATTAACCTGCTGTATCAGACACGTGGTACATTTACCAGTAAGTACTCCACACTGCTGACATTAACTTGCTGTATTAGACACGTGGTACATCTACTAGTAAGTTCTCCACACTGCTGACATTAACCTGCTGTATGAGACACGTGGTACATTTACCAGGAAGTACTCCACACTGCTGACATTAACCTGCTGTATCAGACGCGTGGTACATTTACCAGGAAGTACTCCACACTGCTGACATTAACTTGCTGTATAAGACACGTTGTACATTCACCAGGATATGTTCCACACTGCTGACATTAACTTGCTGTATCAGACGCGTGGTACATTCATAAGGATATACCCCACACTGCTGACATTAACCTGCTGTATAAGACACGTGGTACATTCACCAGGATATACCCCACACTGCTGACATTAACTTGCTGTATCAGACGCGTGGTACATTTACCAGGAGGTACTCCACACTGCTGACATTAACTTGCTGTATCAGACACGTGGTACATTCACCAGGATATACCCCACACTGCTGACATTAACTTCCTGTATCAAATACGTGGTACATTTACCAGGAAGTATTCCACACTGCTGACATTAATTTGCTGTATCAGACGCGTTGTACATTTACCAGGAAGTACTCCACACTGCTGACATTAAGTTGCTGTATTAGACACGTGGTACATTTGCCAGGACATATTCCACACTGCTGACATTAACCTGCTGTATCAGAAGCGTGGTACGTTTACCAGGAAGTACTCCACACTGCTCACATTAACCTGCTGTATCAGACACGTGGTACATTTACTAGTAAGTACTCCACACTGCTGACATTAGCCTGCTGTATCAGACACGTGGTACATTTGCCTGGAAGTACTCCACACTGCTGACATTCACTTGCTGTATCAGACACGTGGTACATTTACCAGGAAGTACTCCACACTGCTGACATTAACCTGCTGTATCAGACGCGTGGTACATTTACCAGTAAGTACTCCACACTGCTGACATTAACCTCCATTATCAGACACGTGGTTCATTTACTAGTAAGTACTCCACACTGCTGACATTAACCTGCTGTATCAGACACGTGGTACATTTACTAGTAAGTACTCCACACTGCTGACATTAACCTGCTGTATCAGACACGTGGTACATTTACTAGTAAGTACTCCACACTGCTGACATTAACCTGCTGTATCAGACACGTGGTATATTTACTAGTAAGTACTCCACACTGCTGACATTAACCTGCTGTATCAGACACGTGGTACATTTACTAGTAAGTACTCCACACTGCTGACATTAACCTGCTGTATGAGACACGTTGTACATTCACCAGGAAGTAGTCCACACTGCTGACATTATCTTGCTGTATTAGACACGTGGTACATTTACCAGGAAGTACTCCACACTGCTGACATTAACCTGCAGTATCAGACACGTGGTACATTTACCAGGAAGTACTCCACACTGCTGACATTATCTTGCTGTATTAGACACGTGGTACATTTACTAGTAAGTTCTTCACACTGCTGACATTAACCTGCTGTATCAGACGCGTGGTACATTTACCAGGAAGTACTCCACACTCCTGACATTAACCTGCTGTATCAGACGCGTGGTACATTTATCAGGAAGTACTCCACACTGCTCACATTAACCTGCTGTATCAGACACGTGGTACATTTACCAGGAAGTACTCCACACTGCTGACATTAACTTGCTGTATTAGACACGTTGTACATTTACTAGTAAGTTCTCCACACTGCTGACATTAACCTGCTGTATCAGACACGTGGTACATTTTCCAGAAAGTACTCCACACTGCTGACATTAACGTGCTGTATCAGACGCGTGTAACATTTACCAGGAAGTACTCCACACTGCTGACATTAACTTGCTGTATCAGACACGTGGTACATTCACTAGGATATACCATACACTGATGACATTAACTTGCTGTATCAGACACATGGTACATTCACCAGGATATATTCCACACTGCTGACATTAACTTGCTGTATCAGACACGTGGTACATTCACCAGGATATACCCCATACTGCTGACATTAACCTGCTGTATCAGACACGTTGTACATTCACCAGGATATACCCCACACTGCTGACATTAACCTGCTGTATCAGACACGTGGTACGTTCACTAGGATATATTCCACACTGCTGACATTAACTTGCTGTATCAGACACGTGGTACATTCACCAGGATATATTCCACACTGCTGACATTAACTTGCTGTATCAGACACGTGGTACATTCACCAGGATATACCCCACACTGCTGACATTAACTTGCTGTATCAGACGCGTGGTACATTTACCAGGAAGTACTCCACACTGCTGACATTAACTTGCTGTATCAGACACGTTGTACATTTACCAGGAAGTACTCCACACTGTTGACATTAACTTGCAGCATCAGACACGTGGTACATTCACCAGGATATATTCCACACTGCTGACATTAACTTGCTGTATCAGACACGTGGTACATTCACCAGGATATACCCCATACTGCTGACATTAACCTCCTGTATCAAACACGTGGTACATTCACCAGGATATACCCCACACTGCTGACATTAACCTGCTGTATCAGACACGTGGTACATTCACTAGGATATATTCCACACTGCTGACATTAACTTGCTGTATCAGACACGTGGTACATTCACCAGGATATATTCCACACTGCTGACATTAACTTGCTGTATCAGACACGTGGTACATTTACTAGTAAGTACTCCACACTGCTGACATTAACTTGCTGTATCAGACGCGTGGTACATTTACCTGGAAGTACTCCACACTGCTGACATTGACTTGCTGTATCAGACACGTGGTACATTTACTAGTAAGTACTCCACACTGCTGACATTAACCTGCTGTATAAGACACGTTGTACATTCACCAGGATATATTCCACACTGCTGACATTAACCTGCTGTATCAGACACGTGGTACATTCACTAGGATATATTCCACACTGCTGACATTAACTTGCTGTATCAGACACGTGGTACATTCACCAGGATATACCCCACACTGCTGACATTAACTTGCTGTATCAGACACGTGGTACATTTACTAGTAAGTACTCCACACTGCTGACATTAACTTGCTGTATCAGACACGTGGTACATTTACTAGTAAGTACTCCACACTGCTGACATTAACCTACTGTATCAGACACGTGGTACATTTACTAGTAAGTACTCCACACTGCTGACATTAACCTGCTGTATCAGACACGTGGTACATTTACTAGTAAGTACTCCACATTGCTGACATTAACGTGCTGTATCAGACACGTGGTACATTTACCTGGAAGTACTCCACACTGTTGACATTAACTTGCTGTACATATCAGACACGTGGTTAATTTAATAGTAAGTACTCCACACTGCTGACATTAACCTGCTGTATCAGACGCGTGGTACATTTACCTGGAAGTACTCCACTCTGCTGACATTAACCTGCTGTATCAGACGCGTGGTACATTTCCTAGTAAGTACTCCACACTGCTGACATTAACCTGCTGTATCAGACGCGTGGTACATTTACTAGTAAGTACTCCACACTGCTGACATTACCCTGCTGTATCAGACGCGTGGTACATTTACTAGTAAGTACTCCACACTGCTGACATTAACCTGCTGTATCAGACGCGTGGTACATTTACTAGTAGGTACTCCACACTGCTGACATTAACCTGCTGTATCAGACGCGTGGTACATTTACTAGTAAGTACTCCACACTGCTGACATTAACCTGCTGTATCAGACGCGTGGTACATTTACTAGTAAGTACTCCACACTGCTGACATTAACCTGCTGTATCAGACGTGTGGTACATTTACTAGTAAGTACTCCACACTGCTGACATTAACCTGCTGTATCAGACGCGTGGTACATTTACTAGTAAGTACTCCACACTGCTGACATTAACCTGCTGTATCAGACGCGTGGTACATTTACTAGTAAGTACTCCACACTGCTGACATTAACCTGCTGTATCAGACACGTGGTACATTTACTAGTAAGTACTCCACACTGCTGACATTAACCTGCTGTATCAGACACGCTGTTCATTTACACAGATGACATGGAGGTGCCGTCTCAGATCCTTCTTTTGCGGATTTATGCACAGGTGAGCAAACAGTCAGTGGTTAGGAAATTCAAGATACACGGATCTGTACTCATTGATATGCACCGAACCATACATCAGAACATGAGGAGAATGTCTCAGTCGACAACGACGTGCGTGTTTGTTCATCAATATATCGAGAGCTACACGCGATATGTGCAGTGGACTTGACTTGTGCAGTAGACTTGTACGCAAGAGTCGTCATGTAATGATATGTGTTCTGCCTGAAATGTTTGATTTGTTTGACACCACACACACGCACGGACGTACGTACGAACGCACACAAGGATGCACGCACGCACACACACTGTGTACTAGCCTGCATCTTCGATAATCTCCAGGGTATACGTTACGATCACTCTCCACTCCAGGGTATAGTGGAGAGTGATCGTAACGTATACCCTGGAGATTATCGAGGATGACTACTAGTGGTGGTCCGATTAATTGAAATAATCGAAGATTGGTCGCAGTGGCCAAACGACCAAGCAATCGATCACATTTTCTCATAATCGAACACAAACGATTTTGGAACCGCTGTAATAGAGTTTGAAATACTTGATGATAGAACATATGTAGGACGTTGTCAGGGCCTGAAAACGTGTTTATTTCTAAGAAAACTCACTTCACTTTCTGAAAAGTCATGACTGAATATTTCGTGAAGAATCTGGGAAGTTTATGTTACACTGGAACTGAATCATTTTACACTGGATGTGAAATTTACAAATGTAATTTGTGCAGTTTCAAAAAACAACAACAGAGAACCAGATGTTTTTTCTTTATACCTATCTGCAACTACAACCTGAATAGGAAAATCTAAAAAAATGACGCCAATTTTTTTCGATGATTGGTCGTTGGTATTGAACCAATCATCAATTGTGAGATTTCAACCAATTCCCAACACTAATGACTACCCTGTAGAACTGTGTAAAACTGTGTTTGTTGTGCCGTGTTGTTGTCTTGCATGGCACTGGTTCACCTCCTGATACTTGCTTGTACTGTGTTAACTGGCCATGCACGTGTGACGTTGTCATGTTTCAGTGGCAATGAATACACGAAGCAAGGACTCCAGCAAGGGCTCCCACAGAGACAGCCGTGAGGCTGCCGGGGAAACTCTTTATAACGTGGGAGTGATAGGCAAGTCGGGCAACGGCAAGTCCAGTTTTATCAATGCCTATCTTGGTTTACCACCCAAGGAGGGATACGCAGCCAAGGCTGACGTGGTGGAATGTACATCTACTGACCACCCTTATCACCTACCCGGATCAAATGTTGTGCTATGGGATGTACCCGGATATGACACCCAAAACGTCCCATATGGAGACGAATATCTGAAGAAGATTAACTTTGCAAGTTATGATTTCTACGTGCATGTATCATGCACAAAAATTGAAGACACTGAACTTCTTCTTCACAGCGCTATTGCAGAACAAGGGAAACGCTATTTCTATGTGAGGACGAAGATTGATCGTGACCTTAAAAATCTGAAAAAGGCCCATCCAAGAACATTCAATGCAGATCATGAGAAAGAGGCCATCAGGACGAAGATCGAAGAGTGTTTCCCTGACGTGCCCGTGTTCCTGGTGAGCTGCCCCGAAACAGAGAGCCACGATCTGCCAACTCTCAGGAGTCTTATGGCTGATGGTGCCAACTTCTCACTGAAGTCGCACAGAGACATCGTCAAACGAAAGCTTCAGGGAACTGGTCGAGCAACAAGACCTTTCTTGGAAAATTTCTGTGCACTGCAGTGACTGACGTTCCGTACACTGAACACACGTTTGTATGCCATAGTCACACACGGATTAGAGTTTGGGATAAAATGTAAACAAACTTATGAACAGCCTAAGAGCGTGATATTCTAGAAGAATAAGGAACATTGGGATACCTTAAGGTAGTGTATACAGAAGACGAAAATCATGAAGGTCTTACCCTCCTAGCCTAGCTATAGTTAGACTACGTGCCCCATCACCATGACTACCACTGTGTACTGACTTTACACATAGTGTTTCTTGCATGTAACGCCTGATTTTTGTTGGCTGTTTCAAGCCGCACTCAACAATATTCCAGCCATATGGCGGCGGTCTGTAAATAATCGAGTCTGGACGACCGGACAATCCAGTGATCAACATCATGAGCATCGATCTACGCAAGTGGGATACGATGACATGTGTCACTCGATCTCGTTAGTCGCCTCTTTCACCTGAATAAAGCACACCTGTATTTATATCACACCATCGGCTCCATGTTGTCACTCCCTTCCGAGAACCTTACACAATCCTATTCAAATATTTGTCTACAAAGATCTTGATCAACGCTATGTGTGCCCAGCACAATGACAACATGTCCGTTATTACTGTCATCGTTAAATTTGCATCATTACAATCGATATCACTAAACGTAAGCGATTCTTATGTAAACACGCAGAACACCTCAGTATCATGACACCACCCGACAAGGCTTTTGAAACATTTACCCATGGTGCGCCTTGTAAGCAGTATTGTCAACATACGCAGAACCACATGTTAACTATACCTCTGGATTTGAATAGAGTGAGTGACTGAGTTTAGTGTTACGCCGCACTCAGCAATATTCCAGCTATATGGCAGCAGTCAGTCAATAATCGAGTCTCGACCAGACAATCCAGTGATCAACAGCATGAACATCGATCTGCGCAATTGGGAACCGATGACATGTGTCAACCAAGTCAGCGAGCCTGACCACCCGATCCCGTTAGTCGCCTCTTACGACATGTATGGGTTACTGAAGATCAATATTCTAACAGTGAATGCACATGTGTTTAATGTGGCCATCATTTGTGTTAGGAGTGTTGTGGGGATTTCTACCTCAGTGACTGTAATTGCATGCATTGTTGCTACATCTGTGTGCTCATGGGTCATGCATAACCAACAGATGACAACTACGTTTAATGTAACGCATGAAATGACTGGTAGCGCCTACCCCAAACACGAGATATATTGAACTTACCACCAAACCTATACCAATACAACCCACTGCTGTGAAAACGGTACATAATGTTTACTTTTGCATATCGATGACCGGTGATCATGTCGTCTGACTCTCATTTCCTGTGAATGTGACATCATATTTGTATTGCGGAGACAAGCAGTTAGCCGAGGTAACGTTGTTCACAAATTACACATATGAAAGGTAGAAATGTATCGACTATGGCTTCGTTAACATACGAGTGCATACACAAAGACGGGCATTAAAGTTTAACATGGCAGCATATTTTATGTGTTGCACCTTAAGGTAATACGTCGAATCATGTGCATCTGTGGAAATAGCCAAAGGCAATATTGCGCGAAGACATTGTGAATTAACAAACGTCCATTGTGTTGTGCCACACAGTGCCAGGAAACAACATTGTGATGTTTGTTGATTATATGCGAGTTAATGAACAAGTCGGTATTTGGGTCAGAACATATGTTGGTACATGCATTTACCAAACGTATTATTACATGATAGGATGGCCTTTTTAAGCGAACAAACGTTAAACACTACCAACATGATACCATGCGTCACTCGGATAACCTGCATTTATACTTTGAAGATTGAAATATAATTGCATCTTTAAAGTATGGAACGCTGATATAGAGATGCATATAGCTGGGTTGCCATGCTCAACAGTTGCTGTTATTTTTCTGTCAACAGGTGTAAGATTTTTACTGGATTCCAACTGACGGAAATCCTTTTCTCCCGTCGTGAGGGCACCTGTCAGCTACTAATACCAACACCAGACCAACCTCTGGGGTCAGCGGGGGATTGAAGTGACCTGTTGCACGATTTGACTGTTGGCTGCACTATAAATGTGAGTCCCTTTGAGGATGGTCACTCCAGAACGCACCAGTTTGTGAAGCCTGGGGGATAGCGGGTGTTTGTTTAGTGCAGAGGCCCAGATAAGCTGCGTATCCGGGTAAAATACGCAAAGAAAATTCCCATTTACGCATTGAAAAAAATTGTTGCGTACCAATTACACATTTAAAATGTTAGATACGCAAAAAGTTAAAACAAATGCGTACGGAATATATTTATAAAAATTGTGCGTAATAAAAATGACATCGATTGCTATCAAGTTGTACTGTTAGTATAGGGCAAGTGTTGTACTGTCAGTATAGGATGAGTGATTTCCAGTATAATTAAGTTGGTTTTGATTAGGTATGACATAAGGCAGAACATACCTGCTTAGTATACTTACTCAATGACATAATACTTAGGTGAGTAAAATGACTGAAATACGCACATATTTGAAAGCAGTGGGTAACGGAAATTGAAATACCCACTCAACATTCATAATACCGACTCCAAAATAATACAGTGGGTACAGTACCCACATGAGCTAAATCTTATCTGGAGCTCTGTTAGTGTTTAGTCTATGTAAAAACAGAACTATATAACTCCATTCATATTGGAAATATGTTTCTTTGGGGCAATCTGAGGAAAGCTGAGGAAAATATACACGCTTCGTTCAAAGCTTTTTCACTGCAGAAAGGGCTGAGTGTATGGGTAAATAATGTGGTTCGGGGACTGTTAGGCTAACTTGAAGCAAGCGATCGCACACGGCAAACGTTGATGTCAGGCGACTGTATTACGGTATGGGGAGAAATGCCAGATAAATGAGTATTTAATTGTAAGTTTTTCTTAGCATTGTTATAACTTCAATAATGCCATGTCGTGCATAAGAGATGATACTGTTTTGTTCTGGTTATTTCAATATTCCCTTCTTGACCTGATATGAAAAGGTTTGAAAAGTTTGCTGTTTGCACAAGTCATACGTAATTCTAAAGCGTGGAGCAGCCGGGTTTGCAGTGCTCGTGGTACATTCTCTATGCATTTGAATCGATCTCTTAAAAGGGAACACAATGCTTTTCACCATGATGCTGAGAAAGGGTAGTGAGGAAATAGAATTTCAAGTTTGTATCATATACTCTCCCCAAAAAGATACGCATCATGAAAATAGCAATTTCATGTAGCAATGAATTAAAGATGTTTCAAAATAAACATAAAAATACAGTTGAAATTCCTATATGCGTTTCTTTTTTGGGAGAGTATATATCAAGATTTAATGAAATTGTACATTAAGTCTTACTATTGGAAAAATCTACTAGTTTTCAAACTTGTCCAGCTCTTGAGTATTCAAAATGTTCAGCAACTCTGTAATCTGGGTAAATTCCTATTCAAGGCTTCACAGTTAAGACTAATATTTTACTGTAAAATGTGTTTGTATGTTCTCCTTGTGTTTATATCTTGTACCAAACCAACCACCCTGTCTGTAGTAGGAATGTATATTTTCATGTTCACAACCGATTAGCTACACAGCTAAAGGTAAATAAAGAATTGAATTGAATATAGCAGCGAGAAACGTTGAAAATGTAAGACGAAAAACACACATCAAACTACCTACTAGCATATTTCATTTATTTGTAAAATATATATATATATTTGTAAAGACAAGAGTCAATATGTTACAGATGGACACGTTCGAAGACATAAGTCAAGATGAGATTGACGAAATCCGCCGCCACGTTGATGAACATGGGTTGAGTGGCTTACCAGGAATAGTTCAAGATAAAATGAAGGACTGGAGAAATGTGCCATTGTCTATAGCAGTTGTTGGCGAGGCGGCCGTGGGAAAGTCATCGTTCATCAACAGCATCCGTGGTCTGACAGCAGATGATGAAGGAAGTGCGGCTGTGGGGACAGGGGACACGACACAGGAACCAACCATGTATCGCCATCCCTACAATGAAAAACTGGTGTTCTGGGATCTACCCGGAGTCGGAACACCCAGGTTCCCACAAGACGAGTGGTACCTTGGACGGGTTGGGTACTCAAAATACGACTTCTTCCTCCTGCTGTCGGATGACAGATTCACCTCGAAGGACATCTGGTTGGCACGGGAGATAGAGTCTTTGAAAAAAGATTACTTCTTCATCAGGACAAAGATTGATGATGCTATGGAGAGTGCTGAGAACAGCGAACGCGATTTTTCAGAAGGTAAGGTTCTCGAACGAATCAAGAAGAACTGCTATGACAACTTTAAAGCGGGGCAGTTGGCACAGAGAGCAGTCTACTGCATCGATTGCTATGACAAATTTAAGTGGGACTACACAGAGCTAATGGAAGACATCCTAGTTTCACTACCTGAACTGAAAAGGAATGCACTTGTGCTGTCACTGTCACCACTCACAAAAGGCGTCATCAAGTCTAAGACGATGATTTTAAAGACACGGGCGACAAAGATGGCACTGGTATCTGGAATCCAGGGAGCAGGTACCTCGCTTATACCAATTCCTCTTCTCGGAGGCGCTATCAGTGTATCGCTAGATATTGCCCTTCTAGCCGCAGAGGTCACTTTCTACTTGAAGCAGTATGGACTGGATGATGAATCATTACAGGAACTCTCTTCCAGGACTAATACAACAGTGGAATATTACAGAGATGCCCTGAAAGGAGGGTCCGCCATCATGGCTTCCCGTCAGTCTGTCAAAACATACTTGATGAATGCGATCAAATCTGAGGCAGCAGAGCAAGCTCTCAAGCGAATTCCCATAGAAATGTGCCGTTTTATACCATTTGTAAATGCTCTTGTGGGTGGAGCAGCAAATTTTGCCACAGCCTACTACATGCTGTACCAGATGATCGATGACTTGGAAAAGGATGCCATGAAAGTCCTCGATGCTCTAATTCAGGCTACAAGCTCAGAGGTAGACTAGTAGTAATGTCACGCTTCACCGCGATACCAGGAAGTACTCCACACTGTTGACATTAACTTGCTGTATTAGACACGTGGTACATTTACCAGGAAGTACTCCACACTGTTGACATTAACTTTAATTAGACACGTGGTACATTCACCAGGAAGTACTCCACACTGCTGATATTAACTTGCTGTATCAGACACGTGGTACATTTACCAGGAAGTTCTCCACACTGCTGACATCAACTTGCTGTATACTTTTTTTGGTAGTACATTTACCTGGAAGTACTTCACACTGTTGACATTAACTTGCTGTATTAGACACGTGGTACATTTACCAGGAAGTACTCCACACTGTTGACATTAACTTTAATTAGACACGTGGTACATTCACCAGGAAGTACTCCACACTGCTGATATTAACTTGCTGTATCAGACACGTGGTACATTTACCAGGAAGTTCTCCACACTGCTGACATCAACTTGCTGTATACTTTTTTTGGTAGTACATTTACCAGGAACTTCTCCACACTGCTGACATTAACTTGCTGTATCAGACACGTGGTACATTTACCAGGAAGTTCTCCACACTGCTGACATTAACTTGCTGTATCAGACACGTGGTACATTTACCAGGAAGTTCTCCACACTGCTGACATTAACTTGCTGTATCAGACACGTGGTACATTTACCAGGAAGTTCTCCACACTGCTGACATTAACTTGCTGTATCAGACACGTGGTACATTTACCTGGAAGTACTTCACACTGCTGACATTAACTTGCTGTATCAGACACGTGGTACATTTACCAGGAAGTACTCCACACTGTTGACATTAACTTTAATTAGACACGTGGTACATTCACCAGGAAGTACTCCACACTGCTGATATTAACTTGCTGTATCAGACACGTGGTACATTTACCAGGAAGTACTCCACACTGCTGACATTAACTTGCTGTATAAGACATGTTGTACATTTACCAGGAAGTTCTCCACACTGCTGATATTAACTTGCTGTATGAGACACGTGGTACATTTACCAGGAAGTACTCCACACTGCTGACATTAACTTGCTGTATCAGACACGTGGTACATTTACCAGGAAGTACTCCACACTGCTGACATTAACTTGCTGTATCAGACACGTGATACATTTACCAGGAAGTTCTCAACACTGTTGACATCAACTTGCTGTAAACTTTTTTTCGTTGTACATTTACCAGGAAGTTTTCCACACTGCTGACATTAACTTGCTGTATCAGACACGTTGTACATTTACCAGGAAGTACTCCACACTGTTGACATTAACTTGCTGTATCAGACACGTGGTACATTTACCAGGAAGTACTCCACACTGTTGACATTAACTTGCTGTATGAGACACGTGGTACATTTACCAGGAAGTTCTCCACACTGCTGACATTAACTTGCTGTATCAGACACGTGGTACATTTACCAGGAAGTACTCCACACTGTTGACATTAACTTTAATTAGACACGTGGTACTCTCACCAGGAAGTACTCCACACTGCTTATATTAACTTGCTGTATCAGACACGTGGTACATTTACCAGGAAGTTCTCCACACTGCTGACATTAACTTGCTGTATCAGACACGTTGTACATTTACCAGGAAGTACTCCACACTGTTGACATTAACTTGCTGTATCAGACACGTTGTACATTTACCAGGAAGTACTCCACACTGTTGACATTAACTTGCTGTATTAGACACGTGGTACATTTACCAGGAAGTACTCCACACTGTTGACATTAACTTTAATTAGACACGTGGTACATTCACCAGGAAGTACTCCACACTGCTGATATTAACTTGCTGTATCAGATACGTGGTACATTTACCAGGAAGTTCTCCACACTGTTGACATCAACTTGCTGTATACTTTTTTTGGTTGTACATTTACCAGGAAGTTCTCCACACTGCTGACATTAACTTGCTGTATCAGACACGTGGTACATTTACCAGGAAGTACTCCACACTGCTGACATTAACTTGCTGTATCAGACACGTGATACATTTACCAGGAAGTTCTCCACACTGTTGACATCAACTTGCTGTATACTTTTTTTGGTTGTACATTTACCAGGAAGTACTCCACACTGCTGACATTAACTTGCTGTATCAGACACGTGGTACATTTACCAGGAAGTACTCCACACTGTTGACATTAACTTGCTGTATCAAACACGTGGTACATATACCAGGAAGTACTCCACACTGTTGACATTAACTTGCTGTATGAGACACGTGGTACATTTACCAGGAAGTTCTCCACACTGCTGACATTAACTTGCTGTATCAGACACGTGGTACATTTACCAGGAAGTACTCCACACTGTTGACATTAACTTTAATTAGACACGTGGTACTCTCACCAGGAAGTACTCCACACTGCTGATATTAACTTGCTGTATCAGACACGTGGTACATGTACCAGGAAGTTCTCCACACTGCTGACATTAACTTGCTGTATCAGACACGTTGTACATTTACCAGGAAGTACTCCACACTGTTGACATTAACTTTAATTAGACACGTGGTACTCTCACCAGGAAGTACTCCACACTGTTGACATTAACTTGCTGTATCAGACACGTGGTACATTTACCAGGAAGTACTCCACACTGTTGACATTAACTTGCTGTATTAGACACGTGGTACATTTACCAGGAAGTACTCCACACTGTTGATATTAACTTTAATTAGACACGTGGTACATTCACCAGGAAGTACTCCACACTGCTGATATTAACTTGCTGTATCAGATACGTTGTACATTTACCAGGAAGTTCTCCACACTGTTGACATAAACTTGCTGTATACTTTTTTTGGTTGTACATTTACCAGGAAGTTCTCCACACTGCTGACATTAACTTGCTGTATCAGACACGTGGTACATTTACCAGGAAGTATTCCACACTGCTGACATTAACTTGCTGTATCAGACACGTTGTACATTTACCAGGAAGTACTCCACACTGTTGACATTAACTTGCTGTATGAGACACGTTGTACATTTACCAGGAAGTTCTCCACACTGCTGATATTAACTTGCTGTATCAGACACGTGGTACATTTACCAGGAAGTACTCCACACTGCTGACATTAACTTGCTGTATCAGACACGTGGTACATTTACCAGGAAGTACTCCACACTGCCGATATTAACTTGCTGTATCAGACACGTGATACATTTACCAGGAAGTTCTCAACACTGCTGACATCAACTTGCTGTATACTTTTTTTGGTTGTACATTTACCAGGAAGTTTTCCACACTGCTGACATTAACTTGCTGTATCAGACACGTGGTACATTTACCAGGAAGTACTCCACACTGTTGACATTAACTTGCTGTATCAGACACGTGGTACATTTACCAGGAAGTACTCCACACTGTTGACATTAACTTGCTGTATGAGACACGTGGTACATTTACCAGGAAGTTCTCCACACTGCTGACATTAACTTGCTGTATCAGACACGTGGTACATTTACCAGGAAGTACTCCACACTGTTGACATTAACTTTAATTAGACACGTGGTACTCTCACCAGGAAGTACTCCACACTGTTGACATTAACTTGCTGTATCAGACACGTGGTACATTTACCAGGAAGTTCTCCACACTGCTGACATTAACTTGCTGTATCAGACACGTGGTACATTTACCAGGAAGTACTCCACACTGTTGACATTAACTTGCTGTATTAGACACGTGGTACATTTACCAGGAAGTACTCCACACTGTTGACATTAACTTTAATTAGACACGTGGTACATTTACCAGGAAGTTCTCCACACTGTTGACATCAACTTGCTGTATACTTTTTTTGGTTGTACATTTACCAGGAAGTTCTCCACACTGCTGACATTAACTTGCTGTATCAGACACGTGGTACATTTACCAGGAAGTACTCCACACTGCTGACATTAACTTGCTGTATCAGACACGTGATACATTTACCAGGAAGTTCACAACACTGCTGACATCAACTTGCTGTATACTTTTTTTGGTTGTACATTTACCAGGAAGTTTTCCACACTGCTGACATTAACTTGCTGTATCAGACACGTGGTACATTTACCAGGAAGTACTCCACACTGTTGACATTAACTTGCTGTATCAGACACGTGGTACATTTACCAGGAAGTACTCCACACTGTTGACATTAACTTGCTGTATGAGACACGTGGTACATTTACCAGGAAGTTCTCCACACTGCTGACATTAACTTGCTGTATCAGACACGTGGTACATTTACCAGGAAGTACTCCACACTGTTGACATTAACTTGCTGTATCAGACACGTGGTACATTTACCAGGAAGTTCTCCACACTGCTGACATTAACTTGCTGTATCAGACACGTTGTACATTTACCAGGAAGTACTCCACACTGTTGACATTAACTTGCTGTATCAGACACGTGGTACATTTACCAGGAAGTACTCCACACTGTTGACATTAACTTGCTGTATTAGACACGTGGTACATTTACCAGGAAGTACTCCACACTGTTGATATTAACTTTAATTAGACACGTGGTACATTCACCAGGAAGTACTCCACACTGCTGATATTAACTTGCTGTATCAGATACGTGGTACATTTACCAGGAAGTTCTCCACACTGTTGACATCAACTTGCTGTATACCTTTTTGGGTTGTACATTTACCAGGAAGTTCTCCACACTGCTGACATTAACTTGCTGTATCAGACACGTGGTACATTTACCAGGAAGTCTTCCACACTGTTGACATTAACTTGCTGTATCAGGCACGTTGTACATTTACCAGGAAGTACTCCACACTGTTCACATTAACTTGCTGTATGAGACACGTGGTACATTTACCAGGAAGTACTCCACACTGTTGACATTAACTTGCTGTGTCAGACACGTGGTACATTTACCAGGAAGTACTCCACACTGTTGACATTAACTTTAATTAGACACGTGGTACATTCACCAGGAAGTACTCCACACTGCTGATATTAACTTTTTGTATCAGATACGTTGTACATTTACCAGGAAGTTCTCCACACTGCTGACATTAACTTGCTGTATCAGATACGTTGTACATTTACCAGGAAGTACTCCACACTGTTGACATTAACTTGCTGTATCAGACACGTGGTACATTTACCAGGAAGTACTCCACACTGCTGACATTAACTTGCTGTATCAGACACGTGGTACATTTACCAGGAAGTACTCCACACTGCTGACATCAACTTGCTGTATCAGACACGTGGTACATTCACCAGGAAGTCCTCCACACTGCTGACATTAACTTGCTGTATAAGACATGTTGTACATTTACCAGGAAGTACTCCACACTGCTGATATTAACTTGCTGTATCAGACACGTTGTACATTTACCAGGAAGTTCTCCACACTGTTGACATTAACTTGCTGTATCAGACACGTGGTACATTTACCAGGAAGTACTCCACACTGTTGACATTAACTTGCTGTGTCAGACACGTGGTACATTTACCAGGAAGTACTCCACACTGTTGACATTAACTTGCTGTATCAGACACGTGGTACATTTACCAGGAAGTACTCCACACTGCTGACATTAACT